TATAGACTCTTATAATTATAACCTTTATTTTTCATAAAGATAACATATATTATCCATAGACTATTCAATTTCTGAATGATTTCATAGATATTTCATTTTTATATAGCCAATGTTAACAATTGAAATATTTTAAAATGCTATAAATATATAGTCATTATATAAAATGTATATATATATATATATATATATATATACAGTATATTATACATAATTACTATATTGTATGTAGTACACATATATTTTTATATTTATATATCATTGAAAAAAATCGTCAACTATAAAACAAATTGATTTTCATTTTTTTTTTCCAACAGCAGACAATAGTGTCAATATTCAGCTTAATTCAGTTCAATGCTGATTGAATTTATTTCAATAATTTTGTTTATGTTGTACTTGAAAAGACCTTGAAAGTGAAGAAAAAAAACTTTTGTTTGTGTGCTTCAGGCCTTGTTTGTGTACCTTGCTCATAAAATGTGCCGATAAATTGATCAAATCAAACACAAAGTGCAAGATAAAATATGAACTAATCAGTTGTTTAGTCTCAGATTGAGCCTGCTCAGTTCAATACATCCAATAAATCATTACTGTAGTCTCATTACTGTAGTCTCATTACTGTAGTCGAATTGTTTTCCCTTGATCAATATGAAGACACTGCTAATAATCATCAGAACGTAAAAAAACGAACGGCTCTTTTCAAAGCTGACCTGAGCTTTTATCTCCTCAAGGAACTCTCAAATCTCACACTGTATTTATCACAGCTTTTATCGCTACTTAAACGTCAATTGTCAAATCATTTATTTCCTTCGCTATCACTATAAAAAGGAGGGAAAAAATATATCGGGAGTGCATCTGAAAGTCCACCAATTACCCATCACTTTAGAGCGCAATTATGAATGCATGCGGTGAGAATTAGCAAATAGAAGACAATGACACTGATCACCCTCAATTGTCCTCACTGAAACACGTCTCTCAATCACATAATGAATGCAGATTACTTGGGCTTACAGGTCATGAGGAGCACATCCGTCATGTGTGATCGCCGGAGCACACACAGAAAAAGACCGGAGGATTTTCAGATGAGGGCTGAGATGAGTTCACATGCGGAGTATGAAACATCATCACATGTGAATTCATTACGAGGGACGGACAACATGCGAAGGCCGAATCTCTTCATGAATGATAACGCTGTCACAACATGGCCAGATACAATAGTCCAGTATCGAAATTTCCTTTGCAGCAAAAATCTGTTTCAAAATATGTTGCATAGCCATACAATGAAAGCGATGTGCATTTCATGAATATTCACTGAGAAGTTATAGTATTAATTAATAAAAAAAAAAATACAATTAATAAAGATAATTAATAAAAATAAAATTAATAAAATAAAATATATAAATATATAAATAGAAATGTGGCACATTAGGTTGCATTTTATTTCATAATTCAACTGGAGCAAGTATGTTGCAGAGCCATAAAATGTAACAAGCAATATGCATTTAATGAATATTAATTGAGAAATAAAATAAAATAAAATAATGTGGCACTTTTATTTGCATTTTATTTCATAATTCAAATGTAACTAGCAATGTGCATTTCATGAATATTCATTGAGCAATTATATAAATAA